TTTGAAACAACCCGTATGAAATTTCTGAATTTAGACAAGTTATTCCATTTTAATAACAATAAGTACTTTATGTTATTCACAGTACTCTAATTGAAAGCACAGTTGAAACTTTTGGACCCTTTGTACACAGAATCATGAAAACACAAATAATGTTTAAGTATATCATCTCATGGAATTCAAGAAGGTAATAGTACTTGATGTTATATTTAACAATTAGCATTTTTATTTTTTATTTTTTATTTTTTGGGGGGGAGAGAGAGAGAATTTTTTAATATTTATTTTTTAGTTTTCGGCGGACACAACATCTTTATTTGTGGTGCTGAGGATCGAACCTGGGCCGCATGCATGCCAGGCCAGCGTGCTACCGCTTGAGCCACATCCCCAGTCCCAACAATTAGCATTTTAACTTAGCAAATTAATTAGATATCTCTAACAAACACAATTATGTTAACCTCATACATCTCAAATTTAATTTACTTATTTTTCCTGTAAAAAGCAAGATACCAGACAAGTGTATTGAATAGTGCTAGCCATTTCTCTTGTTGAAGAAAAGTACTAGAAACTAGATATTAGACACTTTATAATAAACATCTTATTGGTTTGATCACCTAGAGAAATTTGTAAGTTAGTAATTTTAAAGGTACCTTTACCTTCATTTGTTTACTCAATTTAAATTGAACTTTTTAAATCACATGAATTGAAGGTATTTGAATCCACTTTTTAAAAATTTTAATTCACAAGCGCTCATCATGAATATGCCAATTTTAATATCATGTAAATAACACATGGATGCATGCACATATATGTACATATAACACAACATACAAGTGTGCACATATAGACAAAAGCAAAGGCCTTGTAGCTTTGTAAGCAAATCTCCATTGCAATGTTACAGGTATTTGTTAAAACTTATTAGATTTAGAGCTAACCTTTGTAAATTGGTCTCTGAACAAAGCAAAGTTAAAAAAAAAAAATTCTGTAGTTGGATAAAATATCTGATGAGAAAAACACATTAACCTATGTGCACTGGATCAAAATCATGAGCTCAAAATATATATATATATATAACTTAAAATAAAGAGTCCTAGAAAAAAATGACACAGCTGTTAATTATTTCAGTAAAGCAGCATGAGAGACAGAGGGGAGAGAGAGAGTGGGAGGGAGCACTGAAATCATTTTTCTGTGTCGCAGCCAGGGAGAAGTAAGAGGGACACTCTTTTTCTTTAGTCTCAGGTCTCCTACTGAGCCTGCCCTTTGCATTCCAATGCAAGCTTGGCAGGGCGGGGCCAGGGAAATTGCTGCCTAGGGCTTTTAACTCTTTTTCCCCCCACTGGTAATCAGGCCAGGTTTGGATGCAGAAAATGATGAAACATTATCTCCCATTACTTTTGAGGAATGAGACTGTTATGTCATGCTCCTTACTGAGACATGCCACTGGCTGTTGGGCTGTTCAGGGTTAAGGGAGGACATTTACCAACTAGTTGTTCCCTTAAAATCTCATCAGACGGGGAATATTTGCCTGCTGCTTGGTCATTTGCAGTCCCTTTATCTTGGGGCTGCATGGATGTATTAGGGGACATGGGAAACTGGCTGTACCAAGGGGAGGGGCACCCTCTCCAGGTAACTAGTTCGTCCTAGTGGTATGGAGGCGTAAAGACCCTCCCAGGTGTCGCCCATTAGGCGGTGGGCCTGTTGGGAGCCAGGGAAGAGCCCAGCAGATCTCTCCCCTAGACTTTTCTTCCCCCCAACATATTATTGATGTTGAGGTGCACATTGTGGCTCGAAGCTGGCAGCCCCCAGAGGGGGTTTTCCCTGGAAACAGTCCAATTCACAGTGTCCCTGCTGCCCATAGTTGACACAGGGCTTGGTATATTTGTTAATTGAGTGAAGGAAAAAGAAAGCTTGGATAGGAATCTCAGACAACCTTGCCATTCTGTAAATTTCAGACAATTTTCCCAACCTGTACCAGGTGATTTTTAAATTTTGGAGGTTTCATATTTGGGCCACCAGTGAAGATTATCTAATTTGTATTGTGGCCAAATTTGAGTGCTGAGCCTAATGAGGTGTTTAATTTTGAGGTCAGTTTGGGAGTAGAAGGTCTTAAAATTGGTAGACAGCCTGGCCAAAGGGGAGTCTCTGGGAACTGCCTGGGTAGTTCCTTTATGTGCAGAGGTTCAATGGAGGTGACAGTTGAGGGCAAAGCATCCTCTGCACTCTTATTGCCACCAATGTGCCAGTCTTGGACTGGACTTTTCCCATTGGGGATTGGGTAAATGTCCTTATCATAATCTCAGTGGAGGGGGATCACCCAGGTCCTTATTAGCCAACAGGTGGGGCTATCTACTTGGTAGAAACCAGACAAATGGAGTCTTACCTCTTTGGAGAGATGAGGAGGTGGTGATGGATTCTGAAACAAAATGGCAAGGAGGTCCCTGATCTGTGAGGTTTGCCCATTAAAGAAGTGGAAGGAGTGAATACTTAAACAGTAACTGATGAGAAAGGAACATATCTATGAAAGGAAATGTGTTCATTACAGAAACAGTTCTGCTGGAAGTGACCATGTGTGCTGTGTTGTGTATACATGTGTGCACAAACTGGGAAAGAATATATAATTTAACAACTGTATTTTTTTTCAGTGTTTCATTCAGGGACATTTCCCTGTAGATTGAGAGAAGGGGTCTTTCCTTAGCAAGACACCTATACATTCTGGGTATGATAACTCTGAATCCCAATCTACAAGGACAACAAAATCCCAAGAAACAGAGGGCATTTCTAAACTTATATTTTAAGAAAATCAAGAATTTGAGAATCAAAATCTACTTAAGAGCTGAGCATCTGCCCTGAAAACATACAAGTTCCAGTGACTCCCTTCTGCTTCTGGCTCTCCACTGCAAACAGAGGACTTCATATGATTCTACCACTTGCTTGGAGCTGCTCAGGGAGTAGTAGTGCACCCCAGGGAGCAACTTCTAACCAGCCATCCTGGGACTGTAAATCTCCAGTCAGCTGGTCTTTATTTCAGCACTTTCTGCCCCAAGAGTCTGGGTTGCCAAGTGTAAATCTTCAAGGTAAAAGAAAAAAGCTGGAGCAAAGTTGAAACAAGGGACAGAATTTGAAAATGCCAAGGTCTTAGAATTTCATTTCTGAGATGAAGGGGCTATGCTTGACTGTTCTGTGGCAACTGGAGTTGGAACTGGAATTAAAAAACTTGAATTCTAGAGATGACCTGACACATAAAATTGTCCCTTAAGCTAAAAATGGTTTCTAAAGTATCAGAAGTGATGGCTACTGGGGTCATGTGACTTGGGCCTGAGGGAAATTTCCAGAGGGATGGTGATATTCTATGGTAGGGGTTTGAGTTTCAAAGGCTTGTTTAGTCCTAAAACTCACAAATGAACATGCAAAATAGGTGCATATGTAAATTTTACCCTAAAAACTGAAAGATATTGAATTCTAATGAATAGGCCTACTGAGAAAGAGGAATATGAACTGTTGTCTGTTTACTTGAAATATATTAATGAACATATAGGATAAGACCAATATGTGATTCAGTTAGATGTGAATGGCAAAATCCAGGTGGTGAGTATATAGGGGTTTTACACTAAAATTCTTTCTACATCACTGCATGTTTGAAATTGTTCATAAAACGTTGGGGAAAGTTTCCCAATGCTTTAGTTTTTATAAGCAAAATTACTCTGTACTTATGCATGCACAGCAATCCTTAGGGATGTCACTATAGGAATAGAAATTTCCTTCCAGTGTGCCCTCTGCCTTTTCCTAGGCCACTGACCTATCTAGTCCAGACCTTGGAAGGCCTCTCTCTTTCTCCACACTTTCATAATCAAGTCCTCACCCTCTGGGCAAAGGTGAATGCAAATACAGCACTGGCTACTCAGCTATTGGGCAGATCTTTGCATTGAAAACTCAATCCTTCATGCTGTCATGGCAAATCATCAGCATAAGTGCTTTTCTTTGCCTGGAGAAACTTGTAAAACCCGAGTACCTTGGTGTACTGTTTTAAAACCAATTTAGATATAATTCATATAAATTGCTTAACACTCCTGATTTGAAATTGAAGATTTTCTAAATCAATTCAAAAATTAAAAATTCTCTAAACAGCATGGAGAAATGACCAGTACTTGTCATTTCCATTGGTCAAGAGGAAAGGAATTAACATTTGTTGAGCCTTAGATATCTTGCTTCACTGACATTGGCTCACATAGTCCTCATAACACTGCAAGTACACATCCTAACTTTATGATGATGCTCCTGGTCATGGAGCCAGTTAACAGTAGACCCAGGTCTCAAACCCAGATCTTCTCAGTTCAAAACCATGTTCTTTTCACCAAATCATATCCTGACATTTAAAATATGCTATGTTCTGCAAAGCTCACTCAACTACAAGGACAGCAGCATTTAGCCAATATTTTATAAATACACAACTGGGTCAAAGAATAAAATTTATAAGGGCAGTTTCATGTTCTACTTCAATTCTTTAAACCACTCATCAAAAGATGTTTTAAATAGTTTACACTTTCTACCAGTCCTATTGACAAATACAAGTATGAAACTTTGCAATATTTTCCATAGCATTAATAGGTTAGGGCTTAATCTGTTTAAGGGAAATTTACTTCTTGATGTCTAGTATTGTTTACTCAAACTAGAATTAAACAATCTAGCACTTAATGTTCTTCCTCACGCTCAAACCATAAAACTGTTATCCAACAGTAATGCAACCTTTTCTCCATGTTTACCCTAAGCCAGATAACAGAAGCACTAGTGCAGACTACCCTATTTTTATTCTTTTCAGTGGTCCAACATGTCAAGAGCTTAATCTCCTACTAGGGCCATGTTTGAAACTTAAGATTAGCCTCACATGGCAAGCAAATCATGCCCTGCATATTAACTGTGGAAAATATTTATTGTAGCTGCTTCTCTATACAAAACAGGATTGAGATCTGAAGGTGTAAGAGGGGTGGCTCTACAGATACTCTCAGGAATATCATGCTCCAGTTTATTTTTTAGTTTGGTTAGACTTCTTATCATAGGGAATTAAGGGACAAGAGTAGATAGATGCCACGAACATATACTTGCTGAAATATGCAACAACAAAAAATTTTAAGTTTTTAACCAAAGGTTAGGGCAAAAAAATCTTACTTTTAACTTGACATGTAGGCTCAGTAGAAGCCATGTGACCCTGCTGTAGAGATTTGATCTTAACATTGATGTTATTTAATTCTACTTTAAATCTAATTCAAAAATTTGCAGTGCTCATATCCAGAGGCCACTCAACCTCTTATTCTCAGAACTATCTGCTGCAGCCATTGAATCTTTGCTTTGAGGAACATCCTTCTAATTATTTTCCATGTACAATCCCAAATTTAGTAGTCTATAGCTTCATAAAGATAAAATAAACTGAGAAAACTTTTGTGATCTTATTGTGATGAGGAAATCCCCAGAGCAGAAGACATGCAGGGTACTTCAGAGTAAGTGCAGGTCTTCCTCCCAGACCTACACTTGCAAATTCTAGGTCAGAGGAGCAATCCATTTCTCGAAACTTTTTGGGGCATCTCGTAGGTGTAGAAACCGAGTTTTATTCAAGTATGTTCAATGTTATTCTATATTCAGAATATGAACCAAGAAACTGTATCACCCATGTGCAGATGCACAAATTTTGATAAGACAAAACATCCAAACTTGGGTTGGTTATGTTCTCAAATTAAGGATCCACAATAAAACTGTGGGTAAAACTTTGACTTTACACAAAGTTTAAAAGAAATGCTTCCCAATTGAAGTGTTAAAATGTTCATATTCTTCTACCCTACTGGCTATCTAATATGGATAAAAAGTTCTTAGTGTCTTTAAGTCTAAGGGTTAACATGGAAAAAGGCTAAATTAATGGCTTAGCAGGTGAATTGGACTTGGGATTTTCTCTAGTGTGTGCTTTGAGAAACATCAATAAATCCTCTAAGGTCAGAAACCTGGGGTAATGTGGACACAGTATCTGAATCCAAATTCTCATACACTCTTATTAAGGCAAAATTTGAGGCATCTGCAGAAGATGTATCTGGAAAGTAAAAATTTTTTTTTTTTTCATTTCTCCTTCAATATAACACACGATCAAGAGCTGCTTTCCAAAGGTCATAATTAGATTTCCTCAGAATTGTACCTGAACTGTTAATCATTACTATTTTGTGAAATGTGGAACTGTTTAATCACTCTAATGTGTAATTATTGTCTGGAACTCAACACACAGGTACCTTTGCCTCTAACGCCCCCTTACTGGCCATTCTAGAGAATTCACCATCTTTTTCTACTGGATATATTCAGACTCCCAACCAGACAGGAGACAAAGAGAAGAAAAACTAGATCTTAAAAAAAAAAAAAAACAGCAATAAGGCAGGGAATCCCAAGACTAAAAAACACAATTGCTTGGCAAAGTGTTTTGCAAATATGACTTCTCATGGTTTTCCAGTTTGTGGTCTCTAGAATGCTTTCAAACACATTAGAGGAAAGGATCTTAAGAGTCACATGCAGCCTGAAAAGGCTTGGAGCAACAATCATTATGCTAATGACACTGAAAAGGGAAGTCATTTAAGCAACTAAGCTGTCAGATTCTTATACAGAATATGAACTATTGGCTGCCAGTGTTTTCAGACTGATGTAAAACTCAACATTGTACATTCTTGAAGGCTAACCACCTCCACTTACTTTTAAATTCTTGTATCATAAAGTAAAACCTTTTACTAATCTTCATCTACTTGTTTGTAGCATTATTCCTTGGTATTATTCAACCAAGCAAATTAAACATTCATTTAAAATGTTAAATAATAAAAATATGTCACAAATATTTGTAACTACACATACTCAGGGTATCCTCAAATTACTAAAACTATAGTGTAAAAGCAAACACAGTTTGACACTACAAGAGAACCTTATTAAAGTTTAGCCTTCACCATTAAATATCATCATCTGACCTCATGGATTTCAACTTTCAGTTTCTATTCTGCAGCAACTTCCCACCAACCCTGCCTGAAGGACAACCTGCTCTGATCAGGTTTTGATCCAATTCAGATTTGTTCTGTAGAAATGACAAGGGGGCCTGATCCTAAGCTGAGTGCATTTCTATGCTAAATGCTTTTTGTTTCACTAGGTGTTGTTTAAACTTATTTCACAGTTGAAAGCTGAAAGCACCAGGAAGGAAGGTAGAAACTTTCTTCCTCTTAATTTCTTCATGACTGCTGTCCAAGAAGACTGGAAAGGCAAATATTCATTATGGATTTAATTCACTTTGCTTTGGTTTTGGAGGCTTCCCTTAAGAAAAAAGAAACTTGTTAATAAGTAATAAAATCATAGAACAAGGTTAAATTATTGAGGCAGTGTCAATCACAAAAGAAAAATTTAAGTTATTTTTCTACTTCATCTCATCACACTAAATAGCAATACTTCTAAATTCTGCATTTTTGTACTCCTGAGGTATGATCAGACAAACATTTGACTCCTTATTATTTAGCAGAAATCATTCCAATTTCTCACACTGCAGTCTTTAACTACACAAAGAAGTAATATTATTTACTTGCTTTTACAGTTGTAGAATCAAAGACTTAGAGAAGGTCTCAACTGTAATAACTAGCCCAGCATCACAAATAAGAAAATGAGGGCAGGACTGAAAGAACAGTAACCCACATCTGACAGTACTTTAATTTTCCAAAACTCCAAAATCTGTTAACATTAATGCAAGTTTTATTCAAGAGATAAATATTTAAGAGGTAAATTCTAAACAAAAGAAAAATTTGCCAGTTAACCACCCTACAGTAAAAAGTAGAAGTGGGTACCATTTATGACACATAAATAAATTCCACCTTAACGTTTCTAAATAAAGCTGTAATCACTTCTTTGTCATTTAACTTTTGCTATTTAATAAGGCTATGTGAATTGTGTTCAGAAACTTTAGACAACACACACAAATTGAAGTACCACCTAGGATTTTCAGTTCAGGCTGAGTACCTGTAAATACCTAGGATCTATAACTTAAAGACTGCATATTAATATATGAATTCAATTTGAATCACCTTCACTATGTTCACCAAAATTATTTTTAAAAATAATTAGATCAATGTTTATTATGACTTTATAACTCTCTCAAATTAAACTTCTCAATATTTAACATGGTAGATTCAAAAATAAATATTCAAGGCCTTTTTTAAAATTTTCTTTCAATATAATCCACGCTAATAACAAATGTTAAGAGCAGTATCTGAAAATAAAGCAAAGTAGCTTTCTTCTAAAACTTACATATTACAATACAGATTGCATTCTGTTCCATAATTCTGATAATCTTTTTTGGTAATGAAACAATTTAGGATGATTCATTTAAGATGATTCGTTTCTTGGGAAATCTTAATGGCAGTCACTCAACAAAATCATTCATTCTTGGAGTAACAAACACTCAAAAACTATTGCTGGCATTGACCAAGTTTCTGTTTTGTTTGGGGTTTTTTTTGGTGGTTATTGCTTTAGTTGGCAATATCTGAATTTACGACAAAGAACATCTCCCATTAAGCCTTATGTGAAATATTACAAAATTCATAAGAAGACTCATAGAGGCTATAAAGCTGATGTTTTAAATAACTCACCCTTGAAATGGGTGCAATTTTTAGAGGATATCCAATAACTTTTTTGCTCTAAAAATATATGCCCCTACTTTTCAGTGTTCCCATTCAACAGGAGACTTGAGCAGCTTAACAGTTTTGCTATAAAAAAAAACCACTCTTCTTAACAAACCAAAAACGTAAAAGGAAACCAATAAAGGACATATTTTTCACAGTTAACAATAAATAAAAGTGCACTAAGTGTTCAAGTAGGGCACGTAGTTTAAAAACTACATGTGACTATTTGGCATAGGTCATCTTTTAAAGGCTCTCCGAGGGTCCCTGCTATTACTTATTGTGGTCATGACTGTTTGATTATTAGCAGCTCCTGGTAGCTGTGTATTGATAGGTCCCCGGACATTGCTTCCACCAGCATATGAAAGTTGGTATCCCCTTGATTCAGGGCCAGTTTGAAGGCTATTTCCTAAAAAAGAATAAAAAAAATCATCACTATCTTCAGAAGAGGTCTATAATAATCTATGTAACTACACATATTTTAAGTTCCAATATATCTATTAATGCTTTTAAATATTAGGGAAAACAAACTTTTTACACTGGAAAAAAATGCTAGTTTTAGGTTTTTACAATGTATCAGTACTATAAATACATTAACTTGATATTGTGTTAGTAGTGGAAAAAAGCCAATTTGGGCAACAAGATTAGAAAAGAAACAGGGAAAAAAAACATGCACTGCTTATACTACCAAAAAAAAAAAAAAAAGGCAAAAAATGTTGAGTACCAACATTTTTGCTCAAATATGGTTAATTTTTCAAAACAGACAACATAATCCTTTTTTAGACGGCACAGTGTGATGATCAGTTGTGCCAAAATATGCAATCAGGTCAAATAAAGTATCATTTATTCTAATGAAATCTAATGACTTTTCCTTAATAAAAACTTGGAAAAAAAAAAAAAAACCTTTAACAGGGGTTACAAGGACCTGTTAGGATAAATGCCAATCTTTCAAAAAGGCAGTTAATAATATATGAAAATTTAAGGTGTTAATTTACTATTACTTTTCAGAACTATTAATATGAATATCAGCTTTCAATGTACCAACATAACTACTAATACTGTATCTATTATAAATAACTAGATTACAGAACTTTTATAAAAGTGGGAAAATAGTACCAGACATCTTCACAGATACACCAGTCTTTTGTATTAGTCAATATTCAATATTATATTCCCTGAAATTGGTCCAAAATTTATAGAATGTGCTCAGTAAATTGGCTTGCAAGTACACATTATTTGCCTTCTAGAAAACATTTGGAGATTCCCTTTTTATTAGTAGTTCACCTTTAGTACTTACTTATGCCTAAAGATATTCTTTTCCTCTAAATCTTTCACACTTCCCATAATGTATATACCTAATCACAAATTAAAAAAAAAAAAACTTACCCACTGATCCAAATGTACCTGTACCTATATTACTATTCATGGAATTAGTCTTCTGTTCACTGTGTGCCTTAAAAAAAAATGTTTTAAACAAATGAAGATTAAAATAACACTCATTATTACAAACTTATTATACCCTTTTTAAAGTTTTAATGGTTTTGTAAAATTATCTTTTAACAATTCTTTAAAAAATTTGTCTAAGTCCATTCAATGGTAAAAGATTCAAGAATGTTACCCAAACCTTTTTTTAGCTTCTGTTACATCCTGTATTTCCTGACATGACTCCTCACTCCACAAAATCTAAATGGTGCATATATATATATATATCCGTAATATTCTATGCCCTAAACAGACTCATTGAGTATTTTTAATGAAAGTTACTTTAAAGATTATTTTTTACAATTCTCTTCATTACATTCAGGGTATCACAGGATTAGCCTCAGTACAGAACTATAGTTCACAGTCATATTAGCCCAATCATAAAAATGCACTCTATATTTGGATTAATTACCCCTTTGTTCTGCGGTCCTCGATAATCTGGGTTGGGCTCACTGAAATTTGGCACTTCTGAATAAACCATACAAAATCTGAAAGAAAATAAAGGACAAGTTAAATAGACTTCTGAAGTTAATCAACCTTTCCTTAATATTTCTAAGGTTTGGTAATGAAGAATTTAGGTGTCAAATGAATAACAAAATGCTAACTAATGCTATTCATTATAACCAAAGTCTCTAAAATCAGTATATCCCATTAAACATCAAATATCCAACTATCTACAACACATAAAACATTCTATTTCATATTTAAATTCTTCTATACTGCAAAAAAAAAAAAAAAATCATGTCAAAGGATTTTTGGACACAAAAACAAATCTTTGTCCAGTTTTTCCAGACAGGCTGATGCTAGTGAACTGTGTTTAGGGTTCCAGAGTGGTTTCTCCAGCAGTGGTGATGGATTTGCACTGATCCATTCACACACTCTCATCCAGTCCCTCTTTTGACCAATCACTTTGAATCTGCAAAGATAATCATCCAAGGTTAAGAGTGGATTCTGGGTGATAAAGGACAGATAACTGGCTATATTAAGCCACCAGTTTATATCGGAGCTTGTGGTGACTACATGATATGTACTAACTGACAAATATGTATTTTCTTAGTTCCTTAACCCACTAAAAAGAAACTAGAATCCATTTTAGGTAATCCTAAACAGACCCTGACAAAGAGCAGTCATAAGAAATTAAGTGACCTCCTGTGGTTCTTCATTTAACCAACCATCAAACATTATTGTAAATACCTCTGCATACGTGAAGGTCAGGACAGGTTTGGTAATACTGACCCTAAAACCTTTCATAATACTTAGTGCTAATAATACCACTCTACATATAAACATGAGTGGATCCAAATTTTTTCCTCTAGCAAAGACAAAGTGTTACTTCAGTCTCTGATTTTTAAAAAAGCTTGTAAGCTCATTTTCATCATTAACAATTTTCTCCCAACAAAGTACCTCATCCTCTCAGTGTGAGTTTTTTCTTTTTGGTGCCATTTATGACTTCTCTCTAAATATCCTCCAATTTAATGGACATTAAGCAGATGTTTAAGCATTAACCAATAGAATGGAAAAAAGATCTGGCTCATTGCCTGTACCATATTTTATGAGCACAAGCCAAATGACTAGGCTAACATGGAGGCTGAATTACCTTTACACCCCTAGAGAGGATGGTTTCTCCAGGTCTGGGTGGAGATCATTACCAGGGTAGCAGTGTATGGAAGCTCGCATTGCGGCTGCCTGCACCATACCTAGGCTGTAGATAAATAGAGGACTTCAGTTTTCATTGCTGCAAGTCCTTTTACCATGAGTACAAATTCACCCATACACAAAAAGAAAAAGAACATGTAAACTCATGGCCAGAAATTCATGCTTGCTCTATTTTTCATGAATCACTAGATGAGGGAATTCAATTCAAATGACACCTAAAAGATGCGTGTTTCTAAAACCTACCAGAAATAGCCCCACTGAGGCTGGTCTGAATTGCCACTTTTACTGCTGTCTGCCAGGAAAATGGATATCCTCAACATAGGATACTATACTAATAGCTGTTAAAACTAGTATCCATCAAAAAAAGCCAATTAAGTGATTTATAGTTTATACCTACCAATTATTCTGTAAACATTTGTAATTTATTCAATTGTACAAAATGCATTTTAATACTTACTCTCCAATTTTTTGAAGTTCACCACCCCTTCCAGTATAAAGTGTCAGACATCCTTTCCACATGGATGCGTATCTAAAAAGAAACGTTAATTCTTTAGAAAGATGTATATTTCAGTCTATGTAAGTCAAATAAACCTTTATACTGTGTATTTTGTATTGGGATAGGAGTGGAAATCAGGCCCTCTGTAAATCAAATACAATTCTAACATAAACTTGCTACTTACTAAAAAATACAAAGAAAATTATATCACCAAATTGTGACACAATTACTTAAGTTACAACCCTAGAAATGAAAGAAAACTTCCTTTAGCAAAACAAGCATTATTATGCCCCAGATGATTTAAAATTACATCTGTAGTCAGTCAATATAGGAAAAGCTTTTAATTGCAGATATTTAAGCAGAAGTTATTTTTAGGGGTTGGGATTGTGGCTCAGTGGTGGAGCACTTGCCTCATACGTGTGAGGCACTGGGCTTGATTCTCAGCACCTCATAAAAATAAATAAAATTAAGGTGTTGCATCTATCTACAACTTTATATTATATATGTATGTGTGTGTGTATGAAGTTATTTTTATTATTTTCAGCCACAAGATGTAATAAGTTAACACCCCATGTTTCCTTTTACACTTATTGTCATGGTATAGCCAAATTTTAACTGCTTTTCTTCTACCTCCACAAGATGAAGAGTTCCCAATAAAGTGGTAAAGAGAACTTCTTTAGTTTTGAATTTTCCTTTAAATTGTACTCCTTAGCCAGCACAGTGGCACACAGCTATAATCCCAGTGGCTAGATAGGTCGAGGCTGGATTGCAAGTTTGAGGCTAGCCTCAGCATTTAGCAAGAGACTATCTCTATAAATAAAAAATACAAAGGGCTGGGGATGTGGCTTGGTGGTTAAGTGTCCCTGGGTTGAATCCCCAGCATCAAAAATAAATAAATTGTACTTCTTAACCATTGGGCCCCTTAAATAGTACAGCTAATGAGTTTTAGCTTTTTTGACAAATGTTTAGATGGAAACATCATGACTGACTACAGTACAGGAAATACTTGAAAAGAGATACTGTTTTTTGTATAAAGTAGTTTTAATCACTGGAAAAAGGATATTCTGGGGGGTCAAAAAACTTCAATTAAGCTAATCCTTACCACACTCTCCCAGGTAGGAATTTTCTTTTGTGTAAATTGAGGATGTGGAAGTTTAAAAAACATAATTAGTGTCATAATGAGTCAGTGTGCGAGAATAAAATGTCTAAGTCCTGACTCTCATTTCCTGCTTTGATGATACTCTACCTCACTTCCTGAAGATGTTGTAAGACCTATAAGATAGTATCAAAGAGCTCTAAGCTCCTACACCCAGGGCACTCAAATATTTCCTTGGATTCTACTCACTAACCAACATCAATCTCCACCAACTTTTCCTGTAGTTATTACAATTCTATTGATCACAAAAGTTCCCAGCTTCTGTTTTCAAGACACTTTCCTGGCCTTTTGTCTTCTTAAGATAAAGATTTGGCAAAAATTTTAACTTAGTCTATCCAAAACAAAAAAGTGCTAAATTGTTTTTTAAAACCACCAATTTGCCACCTGAATCTTCTGAATGAAGGTATCATAGAAGTCTTTCTGCCAAACTTTTTCTACGTACATTTTGGCCTTACCACATTGACCTTAGGACAGAAAATAGAAAAAAATCATTTTACAGAATGAGGCTTCCAGACATTGTCTAATTTCTGAGTACAAATTTGTACCACAGAAAATACTAAATCTTCCAATTAGTTTTCTGTCCACAAAAATAAGTATTAAAAAAAAAAAAAAAAAAACTATTGGAAGGATTTCAAGTCATTAAAAAAGGAGGAGAGATAGAAATGAACTAAATATACTCAATTAAAGGTTTAGAAAAGATTATGGACTATACCAATCTACTAGAAAGACTCAATGACTCCAAGGCCAGTATTTTAAAACATAACTACCCTGTAAATTGGAGGGAGAGGAAATGAATTTCCTGTCTGAAATCTACCGAGTTTACCTGCAAGGTTGGGCTGCATTCCAACGCAGCTCATTAATATTAACACCAAAGGGGCTCAAAACTTTAGAGCAGCCCACAGAAAAGGTATGGAACTTCAGTACTTGGCAGGATCCCGGGAGCCAGCCAATCCAGAATCTGCACTGTTAGGCTCACCGGCCCCCCACCTTCTTTTACACACCTACCCTCGGGTCAACCGAATAATATCCCCTGGCTGTATGAGACCTCCAATCTCATCCCACACGGAAATAGTGATGCTGCCCGTTTTATCTGCTACTTTGCACGATCTGACTTCATGGCCGTCTTTGGTTTTGGTCACGCGTCCTGTGAAGATTTAAAAATCAAAAGGGAGAGGGGCGTATTAGATTAACGAGGACGTCCGAAGAAGCTATTCCTCCTCCGTATTTTAATACTTTTGGAAAGAGGAGAGGCCGAGCCCTGGCTTCACACCGCCTTGGGATCAGAGCGCCGGCGGGGGCCACTGGGACCACGTGGGTGGGGGAGGGGATCGGGGAGGACGGGCAGGGGGGAGGGGAGCCCCGGCTCACGCCGGCGGCGTCCTTCCCTCCGAACCCGGGGCGCACATGGGGCGGTGGGGTGGGCTGCAGACCCCACTTACCTATCTCCAGGACAATAAAGACGACATTTAAGTTTTTCAGTCCGGGCTTAATATCTTTTATAAAAAGAGGTGGGTCGTTGACCCCATTCATATTGAGCAGGTGCGGTTACCGCTGCCGAGACGCGGACGGGAAGGGCGGGGACAAGGCTTCCCACCCTCCCGGTCCAGGGGCGAGGGCGGAGGGACAAACTGAGGCTAGGGTTGCCAGAGAATGGGCAGAATGCGGTTATTCAAGGAAACCAGCGCTGGCGGCACTGAGCCCAAATTGGGGGGAGGGGAAGAGGGGGAAAAAAGGAGGGGGGGAGCGCTCACAAGTTCAAAATTAAAAAAAGAAAACAAAAATAAAACCCGAACCACTCCGCACGCCAGCCGGGCTCCCAAATGGGCGACCGGGAGGCAAAGGTAAGAACTGCCTTCTTTGGATAAAAGGAAGAAAAAAAAAAAAGACAGTGAGGGGACACCTCTGTCCTGAGTCCCGCTCACACACACACACGCGGGCGCGCGCCCAGTCTATCCTGGACTCGGAGAAGGAATCGGCTGTGACAGCAAAAAGGGAAAGAAAACTGCAACCGCACGCCCCGCGTCCCAAACTGCGACTGCCGAACGCGCCCGCGCGCCGGTGGACTACCAGGCAGCCACGCCCCTTGTGACGTCAAACGGCGTCGGCACGCCCGCCACCACGCCCGCGTGGCGCAGGGTCGGGGAAACCAAGGGATGGAAAGGAACCAACGACGCCCACGCAGCTTCCTTAGCTCCTCCCCCGGGGCTGTCAGTGTTGGCCCCGCCCCCAGCCTGCCAATCCGCTTTCGCCCCCGCCCTCCGTCGCTGCGCAACGTCAATTCTTCCCTGCTTAACTTTCCTGCTGCAGGCTTTTACTACAAGCTGGCCAACGTCAGGGTCTTCTTCCCTTTCTCTCCTTGCCACTCAGCGTTCGGTCCCCAACCCATGCCCTTTGGTCCTGCGGTCACGGGAACGATTGAGTTTAGGATTCAGCGGGTGCAAAAGTATGCAATTGAATTAGAACAGGGCTCTGGCATGGTTAGCTGTGTTCAGGATCAAGGAAAAACGGGCTGGGATGGTGAATGGTTCCATGGTTGTAACATTGGAGTTTTCGGACCAGAAGGGAATTTGGAGATCAGCTCAGCTTCACCATTTTAAGCATATTTAAACTGGGATCCAGAAAGATGAGGGTTGCTTGATGAAAATCATACAGGCAGCTCAACAGGCAGGTCTTCAACACAGACCATCCTACCTGGTCTTTCACTTTTCACTCTACAAAACAAAGAAGATAGACAAGCAGTTAAATATCTTTGCAGACAGGTTTCCTTCGTCATTTGACTTTTCTTTTAATTTACACTTGTTTTTATACAATCAAAAGTAATCATATATCAGCGTCGGGAAACCCTGAAACATAACCTGAAGAAAGAAAAAAATGTGCTTTAGAAACAAACCTGGCCTTGAACTGTTTACCAGTTGTGTGACCTTTGGTCCATAATTTAATCATCAGAAAAACAGACCTGGGATCCCTACCTCATAGAGGATGAAATAGGATCAGAAAACATTTAATTCGTGTCTAGCAAATGGTTGATGGATACTCAATATTTTCTAGTAGCCAATTTTCTATTATTAAAGGAAAGAGTAATCGCTTAACACTGATCTTTTCATGGGTCCTTTATAGGGAATGCTAATTTTAATCCCCATTTTAAGGATGAGAAAACTCACCAGAAACCACATAGCTGGAGAATGATCAAACTGGGTTCTGAATGTAGGCAATCTTTACTCCAGAGGTCTCCCGCTAAGAAATATTTTTATATTTAAAGTTCAGTGGTGGGATTATTTAAAACGATGGAAGAAATAAGGTGGTAGCAAAAGGACAACTAAAAATTAATTCTTAAAAAAAAAATAAGCATCTAGTTAACTGATCATCAACAGAAATGTTGGGAGGCATGTCAAAGAATTTGTATGTAAGAAACATGCAAGTTTTTTCTCCTTTCTGATTATCTGCAAGAATAGCTATATTATTACCCTAAAAAAAGTTTCGAAAATAATCACAACATTAGTAAGAGAGTCAAGATTTTTTTCTAAAGAAGCAGAAGCTTCCAGTTCACAGACAAAAGGGCTCAGAGTGCCAAAGACAATGATGTAATATTGGAAAATGGTGTAAAATAATATGATGAGCATGATTTCTACATCAAATGAAAACATGCCAGTTAATGGCAGAACTAAGGTCCAACCTTAGGTCTCCCCCAGACTCCAAATCCAGAAAAGAACTTCCTATTCACCATGGTTATCTGACAGACACTTCAATCAGACATTCCTCAAAGCTTATTTTTAATGCAGGCAAAACACTCTCATATGAGCAATATTTAAATCAGAACTTAAAAAAAAAAGTTTGATGAGTTCTTAAAAAGATACAAACAGGAAACCAATTAAGAATGTTAAGTAGATTTGTGGCCAAGTTTTTGGCAAAGAAAGTTAGCCACTCCTGAAATTCTCAGTTATTTACCCCCAGAAAGAGGAGATTATGTAGGGTTGCTCAGACTAATTATGTTGACATTTTATAAAGAGGAAGCAGACACTTAGGAAACCAAGCCCAGCAAAAGCAGAAGCTAGTGCTCTGCTTTTGCTGGCCCAGCCCTTCCCAAATCTCCCTCCCCCACTATACAGCTCAGCTGAACATCTCCTACTTCCTTCCCTAGTAACTCAGCAGTTCTCAGAAAGGAAATGGCAACCATATGCTTTTTCATTAACCAAAACTAAAGACAGCTTTGAGAAACAAGATAGTGCAGGCAGTATTGGAATTTTTTAAGTTAGGTTAGTTGGTTTCGACTACTCCCAAATCACTCCCCAAAGGTGATGGTTAGTGAAAAGAGAAAGGGGATGTGAAGAACAATCACTAGGCAAACAACCTTTCCCAATATTAACGTTCAATTACATAAACAAGGAGATCTGCCACTCAGTGCACCCAGTTAGGTAATAATTATTATATTGCTGATTTTTTAGGATATTCACACAATTACTTCACAGTCTTCTGGTCTTCTGCCTTCTAAAGCTTGTGTGTTCTTTGGACCTTCTTTGTTTTTCACAGCCAAATATAAACTTATTCTAAAATGATGGCCTCTTCTACTTCGTGCCCAGAAACTCAACACCATAAATTTTCATGAAGGGATTGCTTAGTGAGACTCAGTATGATACAGAAAAGCATCCACTAGAATTCTGTATAAAAGGTTTTCAATATCTCATTGATAAAAGTCCTCATTGATAAAAGTTTCATGTAAATTGTGTCCAGCACCCACTACCTATACTCACTTACAGGCTTTAGTTTCTGGAATTATTAAAATCATTCCCATGTGGCACTATCCATTTATGTAAAACAATTACAAGAAATGGGCGTGGCAGTGCATGCCTGTAATCCCAAGGGATTCAGGAGGCTGCAGGCAGGAGGATTGGAAGTTCAAAGCCAGCCAGCCTTAGCAACTTAGCAAGACTCTGTTCCAAAAAAAGAACTGGGTATGTAGCTTAGTGGTAAAGCACCCTGGGTTCAATCCCCAGTACTAAAAAAAATAAAATAAAATAAAAAAGCAAAAAAATAAAATAACCACTACCACCACCATTACCAACAAAAAAAGAACTAAAACTATTACAACATCAAAAAAACAGCTCAACAAGGACTGTTTGATAATAGATGGTTAGTGTGGTGAAACTAAGAATAAAAAAAAATTTAGAAGAACCACAGTGTTCTCATGTTACATAAATAATCCACTTTGTAACATAATTGGCAAGGTAAACAAAAAAAGTCTTAATTTTCTTTAAAAGATTTAACCAAAAGACTCAGAAATAATGTTTAGTTATAAATGCAGTAGTAGCTACACAAATCAGAATGATCAATGCTGACACACCCTGAGCATCTGCTCTGTGCCAGGCCTATTATACTTATAAGCACTTACCACTTAATATGTTACTTAATATGTAAAATGATTGTTCTGATTTTATAGTGAGTTATGGAGGTATGATTTTAAATTAACTGGTACATATAACTTTTTCTAAAAACAAGTTATTTGTCCTAACATGTCCCTTCTTTGATTATCTAAATGGGTAATTTAATTTCTCAAAGGTTTTGTAAATCACCGTGACAAATTCAGTAACATGTGATCCCCGGTGTCTGACTGTGTGGAGGCAGTGGAATCTACTTGTGAGAAATAACTTTGTAGTTTCTCTTAATCCCTAAACAGATTAATTCAAATCAACTGATTATCTTTTTAATGACAGAGGCTTCTACATTCTCAAAAGCTTCTTACAAGTGTACCATACTTCTAAAAAGTTGCTCAAATTTATCATTTATGAAAAAATAAAAATATTTCCATCAGAACTAACAGGGCAAAATATTTTTTTACTGGTGGAAGATTTATTTAATTGGTTCAGATATCATGGTCCTCATACTTTAATGGATATTGTAGAAAATCCAACATATCACATATACAAACTGAGCAGTAAAGGTTTTTGCAGAATAAAAAGTCCTGCAGAATTCTAAGAATACTGTATGGTGCTGATGTTCCCAGAACACTGGGAATGAACAGATATGAATGAAGAAAACAGTGTGTAAATCTAGCTTTCATGGTCTCAGAGCCCTACTCTTTAACAGGCCCTACAAAAAGTATGTGAGAGACCCTATCATCATGCCTGACACATGTTAGAGTGGACTTGAGGACTATACAGAATTCTGACTTACTATCATAGTTTCTCTATAGTAAAAATAGATGCTCTCTTATTTTGGAGCATTAGCAAGCTCTCTCTCTCTCTCTCTCTCTCTCTCTCTCTCTCTCTCTCTCTCACACACACACACACACACACACACGTAAATCACCAGGAAGAAACAATACATGTTTCCACACAAACCCCTAATTAAGAGCATTTCTTATATGAGCAAAGTGTGTCCCAGGTGGAAGGATGCTTCTAGATAAAGTACTTACTTGAATCCTTCATTTTGTGTATTAAAGAACACAAACTGGGAGATAACAGGATTACCACCTTCGTCTCCTAATGAACTAATGGATCTCAGTCATAATCACCAAAGGCTGCTAATATCACAAAAAGAGAGACAACCAGTTCAACCAATTAAATCAGAATCCCTCAAGGTGGGACACAGGCATTAACATATTTTAAAGTTCCCTAGGTAATTTATAATGTAACTAACTCTGAGAACTACAGCAGGTAAAGCAATTTGTTTTCTCAGAATTTTCTTTCTCTTTCTTCCCCACATACTTCTTAATACTCTGGAACAATGTTTCCCTTATACTAACTAGGGAAAACCTGTACTGATGAATTTCTAGGAGTGAAATAATTGAGTATTTAAGACTTCTGATATATATTATCAAATTACATCTTGGGAATTTAGAAGAGACTTACACTTCCATTTGGTCTTTATATAGGCATTAAACTTAATTTATTAATTTATCCAACAATTTTTTATTAAACAATCAATAATGTGCCAGCACTGAGACTGCATCTGTAAAAAGTCATACAAAAATCCCTGACATCATGGAGCTTTCATTCTAAGGGGGCAGAAAGACAATAAAATAAATAAATTATATAGTATGAGAGAGCATGATGAGTACTAAGGTGAAAATTAAGCAAGGGAGGGGAAAGAGATATTGCAGGTAGAGATGCAAAGAGTGGTCAGAGAAGGGGATACTTGGGTGAAGATACAAAAGAGGGAGCAAGAAACCCAGGTGGATGTCTGAGTTTAGACAGTCCAGACAGAGAGCCATTGAAAAGGTGTGACCACATCTGGTTTTTTTGCAGGAACAGACAGAAGACTGCTGTGGCTAGAAGAGAGAACAAGGAGAGAGTTTAGAAGTTGAGGAGGAAGAGGGGGTGTATCATATATGAGGACATTTTTATTCTGCAACAGGAATCTATTGGAGTGTTTTGAGCACTGATCTGACATGCTAACCTGACTTAGGAGTCATTCTGACTGTTGGCTGAAGAACAAAAATAGCAAGGGTAAAAAAGAGGAAAATCAGGAGATTTCATATTGATCCATTTGAGATGTGGAGTACAAGGGTGGTAGCAGTGACCATGGGACAAGATGATCAGCATCTGGATCTCTGTGGAAGATGGAATCACTGTGTTACTGAAAGCACAGTATGAGAAAATGAGTCAAATATGACTTCCAGATTTTGGGTCTAAATAACTAGAAAGATGGTGTCATTAACTGACATGGAGAAGGCTGCAAGTGGAACAACTTGGGGGGCTGTAGAAAGACAAGGAGCACCATTTTAGATATCAAAACTGAAGGTTATGGTGACCTTGACAAGAGCAGTTGCCATGAAGTTGGGGGAGGGCAAAAGTCTGAATGGATTGAGTTTAAGAGAGAACAAAAGTGCAGGAATTAGAAATGTCAAGGAGGTATATGTCAGTTCTTCCATGAAGCCTGCTGCAGAGGAGAGCAGATATGGAGGAACAACTTGGTGGGAAGTAAAACAAAAGGGATTTTTTTTTTAAGAATGTGAAAAAAAAATATGTGATATTATGACTGTAAGCGGTAGGGCATAATCCAGTTGAGGGGGGAGGGTCAGATTGCTGGAGACACATCCTTGTCTTTGAGTAGGTGAGAGGGCATGGGAACTAGAGCCTTTGGGGAGGGGTTGCCTGGGAGCAGAGACAGATCTTCTGGAACTGGAGGAAGGTGGGCTGATACAGTAAAAGGTGTGTGTGGAAGTTCTGTGTCAAACAAGCAAACCCATCAATTTAGAGTGAAGATGGGAAGGAGGTGCTGGAAGTTTGCAGTGTGAGGAGAGGGTATGAAATAGTGATTGGGGAATGTGGGAGACTGAATGAACCAGGCAAATATATTACAATTTTAGAAGCAGACTGAAGTCTCACTTGAAGGCAATTAACAGCCAATTTAAAGTTAGACCACTGCACATGGTATTTTTCATCAGACACTTGCATCTGTGAAGGTTTAAAGACTGACAGGCTGGGAATTGGATGTAACCAGTCTTGCAGTTTTGACAAATGATAGTAACATGCTTTTTTGTGTGACGTCTGTTGTATAAGTCTTTCCTAGTTTGTGATTTGCCCTTTCCTTTTATCTGTACTTTAAGTCCAGAACTCTATATTTTTATATGGTCAAATATGTTTTCTTTTCCTATGGTATTTTCTGTTGCTTTTTGATGAGGTAGTCCTTCCTCTTAAGGGATGATATAAATGTTCTTCTGTCCCATTTCCCATTTGATATAGTTGAATTTTTAATTCTTTAATTTATTTATATGTATGCTGTGATGCAATAATCTGATATAATTTTCATCAAAAAGTTAATTTTACTAGCATTACTTAGAAACAATTCCTTACCCTTACATTTGCAATTCATTTCTGTGTGGGTGGGTGTGTTTGTGTGTATGTGAGTGTGTGTGTGTGTGTATGTGTATGTATAATTTTTTTGTACTGGAGACTGAACACAGGGGCACTTTACCACTGAACAATATCCCCCCCCCTTTTTTGATATTTTAGTTTGAGACAGGGTGTTATTATTTAGATATCAAGCATCCATCAAAAGCCCATGTATATCCCCGTGGCTTGGGAGGCTGACGCAGGAGGACTGAGTTCAAAGCCAGCCTCAGCAATGGCGAGACTCTAAACAACTAAAATACAAAATAGGCTGGGGAAGTGACTCAGTGGTTGAGTGCCCTTGAATTAAATCCCTATACCAAAAAAAAAAAAAAAAAGCTCATGAGACAATGCAAGAAAGTTTTGAGGTGAAAATATTGGGTTAAGAGAATCTTAATTTAATCAGTGCAGTAACCCCCTGATAAAAATTAACTAGGTGGTAACTATCGGCAGGTAGGGTATAGATGGAGGAGGTTGGTCATTGGGTGTTATCTTGGGGTTTATATTTTGTCCTTGTTGAACAGAGTAGTCAGTCTCTCTCTCTCTCTCTCTCCCTCCCTCCCTCCCCCTCTCCTTCCCTCCCCCACATTGAGCTGCCTTCCTCCACCACACCCTTTCACCATGATGTTATACCTTTCCACAGGCTCTGAGAAATGGAGCCAGCTGTCTATGCACTGAGACCTCTTAAACTGTGAGCCACAAAATAAATTTTTTCTCTTCAAAATTGTTTTTGTCATGTCTTATGTTTACAGCAGTAAAAAAAAGCTGACTAAAACACAGGTTCTCACTAAATTGCTGGGGGGGTCTTGCTAGGTTGCTGATGGTCCCACTAAGTTCCTGAGGCTGACCTCAAGCTTGAGATTCTTCTGCCTCAGCTTCCAAGTTGCTGGAATGACAGGCATGAGCCACTACATCCATTTGAAAGGTATTCTCCTATTATACTTTTCTATTTTATAAACTTAAGTTCCAGGTTATTGCTCTCTTCTTGGTCACTATTTTCTCTGGCTAGTCTCAGTATTTAACATGCTTTAACTATTACCTAATTCTCTAGCATCTAATAAGCAAATACCAACTTCCAGTCCCATTTTTCAAGCATTCTTTAACCATTGTTGCTTACTTTATTTTTTAAAAAATGCTATCATGATTTAAAATCCTTGTATGGTTTGTTTAGAATTGGAAAAAGCCTAAAAATTACTTGGGACATACTGATTTCTCAATAATGTTCAAGTTCCCCTTTCAGAAACATGCTATGATCCCCTGTTCTAGTCTTTCAAATTTTACTGGCTTGATTACTCACTCATGTTTTTACATCCTTTAAATCCCCTTGAGGTCAAAGTTTTGCTTTGATTTTGATTTTGCTGGAATGTTTCCTCATGTAAGTTCTCCTGAAAGAAAAGAAGGTACCTTCTTATACTCACATATCCAAAAATGTGTGATATTTTATTCCTCACACATCTTGAGTAGTTACAGAAGAGTTATACTGTAGTCCTTTTCTCTTAATATTTACCATAAGGCTAATGAATTCTCTTGAAATATGAATATAGAAGAAAAAACATTTTAAATTATAAATGTCAAAAGGGAAAGGTTTATTAAACAAGTTAGTGTATCATTAGTAGGGTAATCAAGGCCTATTTTCTAAATGAAGTAAATATACATGTCCTGATAAGAAAACAAGAACATGTAGGAGAAACAAAAAAAAGGAAGTTGCAAGACTGGGGGTACAGCTCAGTGGTAGAGTGCTAGCCTAACACATGTGAGGCCCTGGGTTTGATCTTGATCCTCAGCACTACACACACACACACTGCACTATATATATATACACTACAATTAGATTTCTTTTTTTTTTCTTTCTTTACTGTGCTGGGGGTTGAACCCAGGACATCAGGCATGCCAGACAAACACTCTACCACTGAGCCACAACCCTACCCCCCATTTCTATACTATATAAATGCAACAACACATACCAAATATTAATGAATTACTATGGAGATTAGAACTAAGATGTGGGACAGAAAAAAAACTGTTTCTGTTTTGCACATTTTACATGATTTGAAGTTTTAAAATTGTCCTATTAATTAATAGGTATATGGCTTTTTGCTATTAATGCCTATATTTATTTCACCTTTTTTTAAAAAGTCTTTATTTCACTTGACACTGTTAATCCTACTCCCTACTGTACAGTGGATGCTTTGCCTCACTTAACTATTCCCATAATGCACTATACTTATCCCAATATAATACACTATACTTATTCCATTTATAGGAATTTTTGTTTTTGTTTTGGTACTGGGGACTGAACCCAGAGTTGCTTTATGATTGAGCTACATCTCCAGTCCTTTTTATTTTATTTTTGAGGCAGGGTCTCCATAAGTTTCCCAGGCTGACTTCGAACTTGTGATCCCTTCCTCAATCTCCAGACTCACCGGGATTACAGGCATGTGCCACTGCATGGGAGAGGAATTTTCACTTTAATTAATGTACACACTGCCTTTTTGTCTATTTCTTCCAACTAGAATGAAAAGTTGTCATTTTATACCTTATAAAGCACATGTTCAATAAGTGTTTGTTAAAAGTTTCTGTATGATTTGAAAGGGGATATGTACCATCTAGTTGACAGGAAAGTAAAAGAGGCTGTACTCAGAAGGGAGAAAAGGAAGTGAGATGCAGGTAGAAAGTCCTGATGGTGAGCTGTGTCCATTGGGTGGGTAGTGAAACCCCATGGGAATGGTTAACCATCTCAGTAGGGCAAAGGGAACAGACAGAGACTAGTGTGAGAAACTATGCAAGAGCAGTAAGAAGGTAACCATCCTTCTCTATTTAGGGGAATTCCACATTGACATAGGGAAATATTACCTAAATGTCTTTCTCTAGTGACTCAGTTGTTTAGCTATCTCTTGTGGGTGGGATAAATAGGAGTGGCATGGAACTTTTGAAGGGGAAGTTGGAAGGCAAATATTATTGTGAAAGTCATAACTGAATCGTCTAGTAGGCTTGCTGCTGAAAGAAAGAAAACCCCCCAAATATACATCTATATGCATGCAGAGGCTTAAAAAAAATGGAAGTTCATTTCTTCTTCATGGTATAGTCTCAAGGTAAAAAGCATGGGTCTCATGCAGACACTCAAGGACTCAGATTCTCTCCATTTTCTACTTCATTGTTCCCTAAAATGACCTCATAGTCAAAGTTGGGTTGTATCCACACTCAATGTTCCAACCCATAGAAAAGAAAAGGGAGGAACTCCAACTCAAATGACTTCCATTACAAGGCAGAGATGACCCAGAAAGTACACACTATGTCACGTTATACATTACTCCAACTTACACCCCACAGTCACATCCAGCTGTGAAAGGTGTTAAAGATATCATTTCTAGCTGAGTGGTCATGTATCTCATTTTATCTCTATTTCTATGGAAAAAAGAAGGTATCCATTTTGGAGGAGAAGTAGAAGTATTCACCCTATTCAAACAAACAAATATTGTGTTCTTAGTTGACTTGAAATTCTTAGGGCTGTCCAATTATGCATGTGCAGTACACAAGCCAAGGAAAACACAGGGAAATTAAAGCTGAATGCATTCCATTTGGAGAACCGTCCTTTATTATGAAATAATATTCCTATTTTTATATTAAAATATATTTAATGAGGTGGGGATGATGATTTTTTTAAGTAAAGTAGAATTTTTTTTTAAGTAAAATAGAAATTACATTAGTATATCCAGAAGGTAACCATTCTTAAAATCCTTAACTGGGAGCCAACACTTCATTTGACAACCAAACACAAAGGGTCAGCAGAGGGGCCAGTAGATAAAACTGTTACTATACCTACTCCTCCTTCAACATTAAAGGTGGCTTCCCACCCTCAGAGTAAGTTTCTTAAACTCTCCTCACCTGACACAGCATCTCCCTGTCCATAGTTGGATAGGTCCCTCCACCACTAGATATCCATGGTGTACTTGGTCCCGGTATAGCATTCATCATACTGCAAAAGTTCATATTTCTCTCCTCCTGCTTGAATATGAGCATGCCAAGAATAAGTACCATGAACTCATTAAAAGTATTATCTCTTTCCAATATGAAAATATCTTTATTAGTTTGCTAGGGCCACCAAAACAAAATACTAAAGGTGGGTGGCTTAAACAATGGAAATTTATTTTCTCACTGATTTAGAGGTTAGAAATCTAAGGTGTCAGTACACTTGGTTTCTTACGCCTTTCTCCTTTGCTTGCTGATGACCATCTTCTCACTGTGTCCTTGTGTAGCCTTTCCTCTGTGTTCTGTGTCCCTTGTCCCTTGGTATGTACAAACTTCCTCTTCTTACAAGGATATCCACTAGTCATATTGGATTAGGATGCACCCCAAACAGCCTCATTTTAACTTAATCATGTCTTTAAAGACCATTTCTCCAAATACAGTCATATTCTGATGCATTGGAGGTTAGAGCGTCAACACCTGAATTCTAGAGGCATACATTTTAGCTCATAACAACATCTTCATTATTTTTTGCTAATTATAAAATTAAACTATATTTTCAAAAGCAAATTATACAGAAGTGTGTAAGTAGAAGATCTAGAAACGTAGCTTTCACTGCTTACCTAGCATGTGCAAGGCAACCCTGGGTTCAGTCTCTCTAGCAATGCATAACACACATACTTTCATGCGCACATGCACACACACACACACACACACAAGCTTTGTGAAGAAATTTAAAGTCTCCTATCATCTTACCCCCTCCCCAAAGCAATGGTTCCCAACCAGTAGGACTGATCACTGTGTCTTGAATGAATGAATGAACGAATGAATGAGCAGTTGTGTGGTCCTGACATTATAGCTGAAGAAATGAGACACCAAGAGGCTGCACAACTTTTTAAGGTTATTAAACCAAGTAATAAAAAGAGAACCATAATCCAGTTCTGCCAATTTCCTATCCAATTTTCCTTCTAGAATCCTATACTACATCCTTACTTATGTTTATTTTCAACTTTGAATACTTATGGCCTCATTTCTTTTCTTCTTCCTCCTCCTCCTCCTCCTCCTCCTCCTCCTCCTCCTCCTCCTCCTCCTCCTCTTCTTCTTCTTCTTTTTTTCCGTACTAGGGATTGAAATCAGGGGTACTCAACCACTGAGCTACATCCCCAGCCCTATTTTGTATTTTATTTAGAGACAAGGTATTACTGAGTTGCTTAGCACCTCACCGTTGCTGAGGCTGGCTTTGAACTCGCAATCCTTCTGTTTTAGCCTCCCAAGCTGCTGGGATTACAGGCGTGTACCACCAGGGCCAACATTTTTAATGGTAAAGGAAGTAAGCTGAATATTACTTCCTTAAAAGTTATCAAACCTGATTAAGTTGCTTTTCACTTATATTTGTCCTTGCCTTAGACTCTTTATACTACAAAAACAAATATTCACTCAAATTAGTTTTCAGGCATGAATAGCAAACATTGTCAAAACTTCATGTTTTAAGAACAGTAACTACTTACTTTCTTGATTCTGTTGGCTGACCATCTAGGAGTGACTCCTGATGGTCTTTCCTATATTCACTCATGTGGATCCACTGAGTGAGCTATCAGATTACAGCTCACCTGAGGCCAAAGGACCTAGGTAGGACTCACTTATGTGCCTGCAGATGGGTGCTAGCTCTGCACTGGGGCACCTCTGCTCTTCCCCAGGTGCTCGGCCATCCTGTGGTGTTTCACATCAGACTTTGCATCATCATGACCTCAGGGTTCCAAAGAGGCAAGTAGAAGCTTCAAGGTCTCCTAGGCCTACACTCTAGAACTAGCATAATGTCACCTCTGTAACATTCTGTTCATCAAAGTCAGACACAAATTCAATTGAGATCCAAAGGGGGCAAACAAACAAATAACTTCTGCCCGCTTATTATTTTCCCAAATTGTATTGCTTATTTACTACACTACTTCTTTAAAGATGTTATTGCTTTATACATGTAAAATAGCCACATTAGCATTGATTATAATAATTTCCCTAGTGACAAAAAGCAAATTCCTTTTTTTTTTAATTATGGAAGGACCTAAATATTCCCCAACTATAAAAGTCTAATGCTAAATACACTTCATTCTATAGTCTCCAAGTATGTTTACACAAGTAAATACACACAAAATCACTCTCCATCTACGAAAGCACTTCTTACCACCAGGGCTTCATATGTGTATTTATTTTTTTTTAAAATAGCAGTGTGTATTTATATTTTTTCAATTAAACTTTTCAAATGGGAATAATTTCAAGTAGTATTGTTCTCTCAACCCACTACTTATGACACTAAAAACGAATTCCCTAAGCAATTTTATAGTAAAACGAATCCTAAGAAGCTTTGACATGCTCATAGCAAACATCAAATAAAAGATAAATTTGTTACTCTCTTTATGAGATCTCTTTTGAATAGTGGCCCTTTAAAATCCGGTAGTATATTTTATAGATTCTCTTTACTTCCCTGAGAATTATCAGAATCAAGTACTCGGGTAAATACTTTGAGGGCAGATTGTAGTTAACATATAAAAGGTTGCAAGAACCACACAGAACAGACTTCCAGAAATGGAGAGGGTTTTAAACTTCTAAGATCTGAGAGAAGGTTTTGATATTGGGTCAATGAAGTGAAGGTGTTGTCCAGTTCTACATGTGTGTAGAGGAGGATATTGTTGCAGGGTCTGAGAGGGAAATTAATATTTTTGAGCATGTTCTTTGTGTCAGGCACTTGGCATACATTCTCATTTAATCATTACAAGACCCCTCCAAAGTAAGATTTATTATCCACATTCCATAAATGGTAAAATAAAGACTGTAGAGAGATTCCAGTCCACAACTACTGCTGAGTAGTACTGAAATTCCAACCATATTTCTCTGGCCTCAAAGTCTCAACATAAGAGAGCATGTTATAATGTCACAAGACATAAATCACTCTAAGTAAATGTAAGCCATCCTGGGTATTATCCTTCAAACACAGTGATCTGCTTAGAGATTAAATTTTAAAGCAAAGCGAATTGAACAGGGGTCAGCCAATTGTGGCCCCAAACCCTTTTGTGGTATTGCCTAAGGCTGCTTTCAACAGAGGCAAGTAGTGACAAAGTCCACATGATCTGAAGAGTCCAAAATATTTATGACCTGACCCTGTACAGAAAAATGTGCTGACCTATGGTATAGAACCTTTCTTGATCCATATCCAGTGGTGTCCCAGGAAGAGAAATCTGAAGTCTAGCAGACACTGAAAAGAGGTATATTTTATTTTTGCAAGGGGATCTGCTGACTTTGCCCTATCTTGGAAATAGAGTAGTATTTTATAAAATCAATCAATTCACCTTATCCTGATCTCTTACTTATTAAGGAATTTCATCATAAATAGCATGGGCTAAGTACTGCAACAACTGAAAACATGTATGATGAAAACCATAGATAATATGGTTGCTATGAAACTTAACCATATTATAAATCAGTTATTTAATATTCTGGATTCAAAATCACCACAATTAGAGGCTGGTGTTGTGGCTCAGTGGTAGAGTGCTTGCCTAGCATGGGTGGGGCACTGGATTTGATCCTCAGCACCAAATAAAAATAAATAAATAAAATAAAGGTGTTGTATCCATCTACAACTAAAAAAAAATATTTTTTAAAAATCACCACAGTTAGGAATTTACTTTGTGTGGATCTCATATAGGCTTGATTATACCTGAGAGGCCTATAAAACCCGGTTTTTAAACTATACAAAAATAAAAAATTAAAACTCACATTGAATCAAAAAGACAGACAAATGAAAAATGTTTAATTGTAGAAATCAGATAACCAGTCTCTCAATCGACATCATTTTATTAGCATATTTCATTCATTAAGTGACTTCAAAGAATAAATGAACTTAATTGATGACAAAGGTTTACACACTTCTGATTAATTATATTTACACAGTGTTCTTTATTTGATTTTACACAAAACAGCAAAATAAGACAGAAAACACAAAAATCTGCATGGAATTTTTTAAACGAGCACTAGAAAGTGTGGAATAAAAGACAGTTTGTTCATCTGATTGGGCTGGACTTATTAACCACTTAAATTCCAAAGAAACATGGAAGTAGCAATTTGAGATGAATCACACACACACACAAAAAAAATAAAATAAAATAAGAAACAAAATTGTAAATAGTTAATTATTAAAAAGACAAATATTGTGGGGTATTTTTTGTACTGGGGATTAAATTTAGGGGTATGCTACCACTGAGCTACATTCCCAGCAGCCTTGTTTATGTTTTAATTTTGAGATGGCCTCACCAAGTTGCCAAACCTGGCTTAAAACTTGCTATCCTCCTGCCTCAACCTCCCAAGTTGCTGTATTATAGACATGCGCCACCACTAAGGACACTGAAAATAATTTTTTAAGATAATAACTGTTGATGATGCTGCTGCTGCTGATTATGTACTATATATTGAATTCAGGGGTGCTTTACCACTGAGCTTTTCTCCAGTTCTTTTCATTTATTTATTTATTTTTGAGACAGTGTCTCACTAAGTTGCTGGATCTGGCCTTGAACTTGAGCTCCTTCTGCTTCAGCCTACTGAGTTAATAATATTTAATAATTAATAAAGTCTAGCAGACACTGAAAAGAGGTATGTTTTATGGGATTAAGGTGTGTGCCATTGCTTCCATCTCAAAAGTAATAACTTTGTAAAAGTAAAGATTTTTTTTTAAATTTAAAAATATTGAGGACATGGCAATAATGAATACCCAATTTTAGTTTATTTTTTGTGTGAATATATATTTATATATTTACGTATATAAATGTTAAATATTAAATATATTTTTTAACTTTATGACAGTTTTAGATTTACAGAAAAATTACAAAGATCATTTAGAGCTGCCAATGTGCTCCTCAACCAGTTTTCCATACTATTATTGTCTTAAATTAAGATAAAACATTTGTTATAATTAATAAAACAATATATGTTTAACTGAAAGTCCATATCTAAATCAGATTTCCTTAGTTTTTACCTAATGCCCTTTCTAGATT